CCAGAGATGTCAGCAAGCTCCACATCACCACCATGCTGAATAAGAAGCTTCAGCACATCCAGGTGGCCATTGGCAGCTGCCTTGTGTACTGCTGTGGAACCAGCCTCATCAAACTCTTTTGCACTCTTAAATACAATCAGGAATATGCACTTATCAGCAGCCCTTCTGGCAGAGTTGACTCTTGGGGGGTTGACCCTAAGGAACCCCAGGCATTGTTTTGCACAATGACAGTTACAAATACCCCCACCAAAGTACAAAATTTCTCCACCAAAAGCTACCATCAGCCCTTATACCCCTGGGACAACAGATGAATCATATAGCAAATTAGTAAAATAATGTGCACCTAATATCTACTGCACATGATGGAGTTCAAGATACTTTTTTAAGTCGTGGAATTGGAAATGGCAACATCGATGTTGTAGGATTTATTAAATATTTTTTCTTCTTCATCATAGCATACATGTACATTCCAAATCCTGTGGGCCATTCCCCAAGGATCCTACTACTAGAGTGCAAAAGTGATCCAACCCCCTCGTTCTAGACTAAACATTTGCAGCAAATGTCAGCAATTTCCTTGCAATGATCGCCAATGTCCCTGGGGTGAACCCTTTGAAATAGCTGCTGATAGGGACATTACTCATTAAAGCAGTGCACCAGTTTATAGTTAACAAGTTTCTCAGTGGAGCATAGACTTAATAACAACAAGAAAAATGAGTACCATTTTTAAGGTCAGGGCTCTATAGTAACTTACACCATTATGAATGCAAGTAAGCAAGTTAGCATTTTGAAACAAGAAATGATTGGCATTAATTTAAACTGCTGATATTATTTTCCACAATGCATCCCTCCCCTAACCCCTCTCTCCCAAAAAAAAGCGCAAAAGTTAAACCTGACTAATTGAATCTAACCAGAAATTCCAAAAATCATATATGTAATTTGTCATTCTACACTTATAAAACATGACATGGTCAACTTTTATGCAGTACTTTTCCGTTTCTTAAAACTCATAAAGCAAAGTAAGTTAAGTTTTGTTTTGTCTGATATATTGCATTAAAAGTCATTCTTACTACTAGGTGAAAATTTATTTTCTATTTAATATGGCAAACTGCAACAAGCATATCCAGGACTTCCTGTAGTGAATGACTTTTCACGCACAGAGAGAAATGGTAATAACATACATTGTAAAGGGAGAAATTGGCCGTCACAGTTTAGGGAGAGAAAACACTTTAACATTAATCACTGTTTAAACTTACATGTTTAAAATTTTTCTGGGGCTTATGCCCCAAATGTAAATGTAAGAGTATGTTTCCATTATGTCTGAATTTGGAGGGTTGGAAAGCACATACTCACACAAGACTTTATCCAGTCACCCCCTGGGATGGAAATTTGCAACACAAAAAAATAATAATAATAAAAAAGAAGCACACTGCAGAACTTAAGTCAGCGATGGCCCCAGGGATCCATATTCGCAGTCATCTGGTCGTCCCAGATGACTACAATCTCACATGGACAATTAAGATACCTCCAAACATCATCCTTTGGACGAGTAAAGTTTTGCTCAACTATAAAATCTATTCAAAAATTCTTGTATGGTTTTATCATGTACATTATGCATGCATTCTAATTATTTCTTATCCACTTAAATCTTTATGAATAACGGAGAATAACAAGCATCTTTGTCTGCAATGAAATGAAAAGTTTGGAGCCATTTTTGATGGTTCAGTATTTTCCATCAAATGATCAATCTTTATGTCGTTAACCGTTGTTTTTTTTTTTCATTTTGTGAAGAACTGCATTCACAGGCCAATTGTAAAACTTTCAAATAAGTTGTTTGTACGATTTAAAACTTGCTCCTCTCCCTTAGAAACTTGTGAGGTTGACTAGTGGCAAATCTAGGGCCATTCACAGAAAAAAGTGACAGCATTCATCAAAGATGTGGCATTTTAGAAGGTGTTTTGCCGCCTCCGATAAAATAAAAGCTGCTGCCTTATACAAGAAAAAACGTAAGTACACCCTCTTGTCTTCATGTCAAACTGACAGACCTTGGCTTGTTTTTGTGCCCAAACAGAATGCATCCCAGCCATCCACCGAAGTCATGGAGTCTGTTTTTCAGTTGAGTTAAAACCCTTTCTTAGTAGCTAAGATAGTAATAAAAACANTCAACTATAAAATCTATTCAAAAATTCTTGTATGGTTTTATCATGTACATTATGCATGCATTCTAATTATTTCTTATCCACTTAAATCTTTATGAATAACGGAGAATAACAAGCATCTTTGTCTGCAATGAAATGAAAAGTTTGGAGCCATTTTTGATGGTTCAGTATTTTCCATCAAATGATCAATCTTTATGTCGTTAACCGTTGTTTTTTTTTTTCATTTTGTGAAGAACTGCATTCACAGGCCAATTGTAAAACTTTCAAATAAGTTGTTTGTACGATTTAAAACTTGCTCCTCTCCCTTAGAAACTTGTGAGGTTGACTAGTGGCAAATCTAGGGCCATTCACAGAAAAAAGTGACAGCATTCATCAAAGATGTGGCATTTTAGAAGGTGTTTTGCCGCCTCCGATAAAATAAAAGCTGCTGCCTTATACAAGAAAAAACGTAAGTACACCCTCTTGTCTTCATGTCAAACTGACAGACCTTGGCTTGTTTTTGTGCCCAAACAGAATGCATCCCAGCCATCCACCGAAGTCATGGAGTCTGTTTTTCAGTTGAGTTAAAACCCTTTCTTAGTAGCTAAGATAGTAATAAAAACAATGCAAATCAGAAACATTCAAATTGCACTCAATTTTATCACCATTCCTTCTATAACTCTGCACTCTTGTCCAGGCAACGTAAAGTGTAAAGTGTAAAGTGTAACCCGCTGACGACTCTCATATAATATTAATATGGATCCCTGTGGCCCTGTGGGCCAGCATCGACTAATAACAGTATACTTGCCAGGCTATTTAGGAAGAGTAAGAATGTATCAGTGAAAGAATCTCCTCGAGAGGACCCTGGAAACATTAGGTTGTCAAAAACTTAATGCAATGATAACATTATTATTATTATTTATATAATATACTAAATATAAAAGTATGAATTATCAAAGAGATGGAACATAGGAAGCTTCATCGTGTGAACCAAATGATTTTTAGTTGTTAGTATGTAAACTACAAAGCTTACAAATTAATGACTGCAGTTACATATGACGTGTCTTTTACCTGTCCATCATCAAGAGCTTGTGTAACTTCTCGAATATCACCAGTGAATGCTAAAGACAAAATACAGCAAATGGTAATATAATAAATAGATAGTTAAATGTTTTGAAAGTTATTTTCTAGGATGACTCATTCCCTTATTCCTTCTACAAAACCGAATGTAAAAAAAGTAGAAGAAAAAATGAAGTAAAATCGCGGGCACAATGTCTTCGAAGTTTATTTCATTAAATAATATTGTCACACCGCTCTTTATATTTTTAAGCTTCTGCCATAAATTTAAAACTTAAGCTTAAGGTCACCCGATGAGAAAATTTAATACATTTATATGAGCCTTTAGATGAATTGTGAAACTTAAAGATGACTATTACAATCAACAAGCTTAAACCTCGTATCTCGGAAAATGCACACTTTGTCAAACGGTATAACAACTGTTATATGTGCTTCCCCAAACCAAGACACGATATTCGCGAAAATCCTCTATCAAAAGTAAAAGCTCACTGATGAATATGAACCAAACTGAAATAAGAAATCGTGTATCGAACAAAACAGAACGAAAAACAAGTTTCACATAAATACTACCGGCTTCATGAAGATCGGAGACGGTTCGAGCTGGGACTCCGTTTTTACAGATCATCTTTTAGCTACCAGTGTCGACAGAAAAACAGATATCAATATGCAAATTCTAAACAGAGGAAACAATCATATCTGTTGCTCAGGAAAACGTCAATTTGTCCGCCATATTGAAATGCAAATAGCAAAGCCTTAGAGCCCAGTCTCCTACTAGCTCCTGATTGCGTTGACAGTGCAGTGGTTTGCGCATTCCCTTGGAAAGGATCATATTTACCTCCTTTCATTTACCAGTTTCTGGACTCATTCAGTTAAACATTTTTATTATTTTTTTAACTTTTGGTTGAGTGACACGGAAAACCAGCAATTGCGTGAAGAGACAAAACTGCTGCATACGGTCCTGCATGGGAGAAAAACGCGAGACGGGGCTAGCCTCCCACGCAAACGTTCTTTCATTTATTTATTTATGTATTTCATGCTTTATTAGACAAGATCAAGACAGAATGAAATATACAAACATAATAAAGAAACAAAGAAAGAAAAAATTAAAGCCACAGACAGGACACTTAACTTAGACCCATGTACTTTCTGCACGTCACGGGGCAGGAACGCGTGACGAACTATTTTGTATGAATTCTCCTGGGAATAACTGGGAACATTTGATGAGGGACACGCGAAAGTCATTTCTTGAAACTGACCTCAAATTGCCATTAGCAATACAAAAAGCTACGCTCCTTGTTCTATTCTCTACATAGTCCGTGTCCATTAAATTACTGGATATTCAAAACGCTTCAAGAGCACAATAATACATTGGAAATAGGAGGGGATAGGTAAGTGAATCAATGCGATGATATTTGTCAGTGATGTATAGCGACCAGGGGGGGGCCCACGACTCCAATAGCGCCTAGTACTTGTTTCGTGTACCTATGATCCACCGATTTATGACATCACATCCGGTTGCAAAGTTGCTGCTCTGTTTTCGCGCGAAGCACTAAGAATGCTATTTTGTTTCTTCGTTATTTTAACCAACAGGCTAACGGAATTATGTATCTTGAATGCCGAGAATGTTGAGAAGGTATCTAGCCGGCCTTTCAAGCAAATGTCATGACCAAACAAAGACGATTTAGTATTATTTTAATGATAAATATCATGCAGCTGCGAGGAATGTCATGGCGAGTCTTGCGATGTTTCAAAACGAGTGTCGTTAACGTTTTTCGGCTGTTGCGGCCTATGATTTAGAGAAGTCATCAATCAAAATATAATTTCCTGAGCGGAATAGAATGGGGAAAACGCCGATGGCCACAGTTTAAAGTGTTTACCACTGGAAGGCTGGATCACGCCCCGCAAAGTTGCAGAAACTTCCACTCAACTGCATGGTTTTGAGGAATGTCATGGCGTGTCTTTCGCTGTTTGTAATCGAGCGTCACTCAAGAGTTTGGCTTTCGCGGCTTCTGATTCATCGAAGTCACCAATCAAAATTGCCTATCCTGAGCGAAATACCGTGGAGAAAAAGCTTATAGTCACAGTTTAAAGTGTTAACAGGTGGAAGGCTTTATAACTCGACGTAAAGTTGCTGGAAGCTCTTCTCGACTGTACGGTTTGAGCAATGTAATGGTGAGTCTTTCTCTGTCTAATTGA